CCACACCCCGGGCAACTGCATTGGTCTGCAGGCTAAACTAAGTGAGGGTAGCCAGATATGGTGAAAAACCACCGAGCGATTGCCGGTATAAGCAATCCCCCACCTTCTGGTCAGCGGCTTCGGGCGGACGAGCTGGTTGGTGGAAGGGCACTCTTTTGTCCTGAGATTGAGAAATCGGTCTCAAAGGCGGATGAACCAGGAAGATGGTCAACGACATAAGGTTACAGAAGGCCACGGGAAACCACTGTAGTAAAGGCTCACAAGAGCATCCCTAGTACAATCATCATGGCTAGCAATAACCAAATGAGTAACCTTACTGATCATGAGCCGCGGAAACCAAGATCCGGCAGGGGAAGTAAATCACTAGTTAGCCACAGGGCTTCCCAGGTCGTAAGCCAGCGAAATCCCTGTGATGTAAATAATAGAACACTTTTAAAAATTGCCACAAGAGGAAATATGAGAATTGCAACATGGAACGTGCAAAGCTTACTACAATCAGGTAAAGTAGATAATACTGCGATAGAAATGGAAAGATTAAATATCGAAATTCTAGGAATAAGCGATGTACAATGGCCAGGGTCTGGAAAACAACGGACTAGAAACGGAGCTATATATTATAGTGGATATTCTGATAGAACAAACCGATATGGTGTGGCCATAATGGTAAGCAAGGAAATAGATAAATCCGTACTTGGTTTCACCCCGCTTTCGAATCGCATTATAATGCTACAAATTAACACCAATATAGGGAAAATGAATGTTATTCAAGTATATGCACCAACAGCTGACAAGGAGGAACAAGAAATAGAAGACTTCTACGAGCAATTAGAAACAATAATGAAAACAACAAAAAAACGTGAAGTTCTGATACTAATGGGTGACTTTAATGCCAAAGTGGGCAGAGGAAGTGTGGATAGTTGTGTTGGAATGTATGGATTGGGAGAGCGAAATGAGCGTGGTGAAAGACTAATTCAGATGTGCCAAATAGAAGAACTAGTAGTTATGAATACAATGTTTAAATTACCAAATCGCCGGCTCTACACGTGGAAAGCTCCTGGAGACAGCAAAGATAGAATCATAAGAAATCAGATAGATTACATCTTGATAAGGAACAGGTACAAAAACTCTATTACAGTAGTGAAGACTTACCCTGGAGCAGATGTAAACTCGGACCACAACCCAGTAGTAGCAAATATGAATGTAAGATTGAGAAAACCATTAATGAAAAGATCTAGACCACAAATATGCATTGATAAGTTAAGAGAACCAAATACATACCAAGAAACTCAAAACAAAATAAATCAGAGTATCCAAGAAATAAAACAACAAAATAAGAACACTACAGATATTGACACAAAGTGGAAGAATATAAAGAACGCAATCGAGACTGTGGGACGGAAAACTTTAACATTTACAAAAGCTGCCAAACAAGAATGGATGACACAAGAAATTCTCGAAAAGATGGACGAAAGAAGAACACATAAAAACAAAGATAAAATTAAATATCAAGAAATTAATAAACAAATAAAACAGAAAATAATACAAGCTAAGGAAACATGGATGTCCATTAAATGTCAAGAAATCGAGGAATGTGAGGCAAGGTATGACACTTTCAACACCCATAAGAAGGTTAAAGAAATGATTTCAGGAAATCGTAACAAACCAATCGGGATATTAAAAAATGCAGATGGTACCACTATAACTGAAACGCAAGACAAACTACGTAGATGGAAAGAATACATTGAACAACTATTTTATGATCAAAAAGTAGAACAATTATTAGAAGTTAACGGAGAAACCACGGGACCAGAAATAATGAAAGAGGAAGTTATGTATGCTATAAAACACACAAAAGGCAGAAAAGCTCCAGGACCCGATGAAATACCAATTGAACTATTGAAGATAATTAATGAAGATAATATTGATGTCTTGGTAGACCTTTTTAACTCCATATACAAGACGGGACACATACCCAAAGAGTGGCTTCTCTCAACTTTTGTGACGATTCCAAAAATCACAAATGCTAAAGATTGCAATGACTATCGAACAATTGCGTTAATGAGCCACACATTGAAAACCTTCCTTAAAATCATACATAACAGAATCCACATGAAATTAGAACAAGAAATAAGTGATTCACAGATGGGTTTCAGAAAGGGTCTAGGAACTAGAGAAGCATTATTTGGAATCCATGTTCTGACACAACGATGCCTGGATATGAATCAGGACATATATGCTTGCTTTATAGATTTCAAGAAAGCTTTTGATAGAGTTCAACATGAGAAGCTTTTAAGTATTCTTAAGACTAAAAACATTGATAGTAGAGATCTACAAATTATATCGAATCTGTATCAAAACCAGAAAGCAAGAGTAAGAGTCGAAGGAGAACTGACAGAGGAAGTAAGTATACTTAGAGGAGTTCGACAAGGGTGTATCCTTTCACCACTCTTATTCAACGTCTACAGTGAAGTGATTTTTCAAGAGGCTTTATTGGATATCGTGGAAGGTATTTATGTCAACGGAAATAGCATTAATAATATTAGATATGCCGACGATACTGTCATATTTGCAAGTGACATGGAAGATCTACAGTACATAATACAACATGTATACAATGCATGTGAAAGTTACGGACTGCAAATGAATCTCAAGAAAACGAAATCAATGATATTCTCAAAAAAACCACAAAATGTAAATAACCTGATCATCAATAATACAACGATAGAAAGAGTAAAAACATATAAATATTTAGGAACGTGGCTAACCGAAGATGGAGATCAAGTAAAGGAGATCAGATCTAGAATAGAAATGGCAAGAAACACGTTCATAAAATTGAAGAAATTACTTTGCAACCGTAACCTTAATCTAGAGATTCGCACAAGAATGCTACGTTGTTACGTCTTCTCTACTTTACTATATGGCATGGAAGCGTGGACAATAAAGCAGTCTGAAATCAAAAAATTAAACTCCTTTGAGATGTGGTGCTACAGGAGAATGCATAAAATATCGTGGATTGAAAAAGTAACTAATATAGAGGTGTTACAAAGAATGAAGAAAGAATGTGAAGTCATAAAAACTGTTAAAATTAGAAAGATTCAATATCTGGGACATTTAATGAGGGGTGAGAAGTACGTATTACTGAGGTTGATTATGCAAGGGAAGATACAAGGGAAGAGAAACCCAGGACGACGCAAAATGTCCTGGCTAAGAAATTTGAGAGAGTGGTTCGGCTGCAGCTCATTAGAATTATTCAGAAATGCGGCCAACAAAGTTAAAATAGCGATGATGATTTCCAACCTCCGCTAGGAGAAGGAACCCGAAGAAGAAGAAGAAGGTAGTCCGAGTCTGCATTTGCCCCTCTTCTGCTACATATGTTTATTACATCTGGGTGATGTCTAGAGTCAATAATAACATGATCGATCATGTTTACTGTGACTCCATCTGGAGATCTCCACGTTCCCTTATGAATATTTTTTCGCTGGAAGCATGTGCAGGGAATGACCATGTTAAGGGAAGTTGCTAGATTTATTAGTCTGATGCCATTGTCATTGGATACCTCATGAAGGCTGTGCTTACCTATAGTTGGTAGGTATTGTTGCTCTTTTCCTATTTTTGTGTTAAGATCACCATAAATAATTTTGATGTAATTCTTTGGGCATGAAAGGTACGCAGCTTCTAGTTCTTCCTAGAATTTTTCTTAGACATTGTCTTCCTTTTCCTCTATAGGGGCATGCACATTTAAGATGCTATAATTAAAAAATGTTCCCCTTAGTCTCAGGATGCACATTCTAGAGTTCATAGCACGAAAGTCTCTTACGAGGTGTTTAACCTTTTTATTTACAATGAACCCAGTACCAGCGTGGTCCTTAGCGTCGCAACTATAGAATATAATGTGGCGTCTTTTTTGAATGGTGCCACTTCCGGTCCATCTCATTTCCTGCAGAGCTATTATATCTATGTCATATCTATTCAGTTCACCGAGCAGATTTTGGAGGGCTCATGATCTGTATAGGGATCGGATGTTCCATGTCGCGATTCTTAAATCATGTACCTTTTTCTCGCGCAGTAGTCGTCGTTTGATCAGTCCGGTTTTCTTTCCTTGAACATTCGCAACATGTGTGTTTTCTAGAATAGGGTTGTTAGCCCTATGCCTAACCCCCTTTTCGGAGAACCATTTCTCCTTTCCTCGTCGACCCTGACCCTACTTTCCACTGGAGTTGGTTACCCAATCTTCGATAGGGTTGCTTAGGTTTGCCAGGGTCCACCCCTGTGATTAAGTCACACTTCTTGAAATTAAGGATAGGAATTGAGTAGGAGTGGCTAGAGGTGTTATCAGGAAGCAACACCTTATATTGCGCATCACTACTCCTAACCCCTCCTGGAACTATGGACTTATATCTAAGTTTAAACCTTGTACTATCATTTTCCGATAAGTATTTTAGGCCTATATCATTTTAAAACCTTGTTTTTTAATAATTAATGAAGCGGTTATGACAGGATGGGCGCTCGGGCTGTGGCAGGTATAAGAGACAGAAATAAGAGCTACGGTATAATTTTTGCTGGTTTAAATTCTTTTAAACGATTCTTTTGTATAAACGAGCACCAGCACTACAATATGAGCTTTATTATGAATTAAAAAACAATAGCTTAGGAGATTGTTTATATCGGAGAGTAAAATAATCTATCCAGAGGACCAGAGGGCCTCCAACTCGAGAGATGGATGTTGCTTGGTGAACGTAATCATCCAGTAACACCAGTGGTACATATATAATATGCAAACATATGTTGCAGGTGCAGTAAAATAAAAAGAAAAAACTCAATTTTAGTTTTTATATTATGAGAAGTGAAAAATAAAATCTTGTATGTAGCATTGGTATTACCGGATGATTACCGGTGCTCATTTGTAGAATAAGAATTTAAATCAGCAATAATTTGTGCCCCAGATCTTGTTTCTGTCTCTTCCTGTAACTGTAGGGTTAATTAAATAAAACACATGCATAAAGTTTCTCTTTCTATATAGAATGTCACTTATTTTTTAACATTAAAAAAATTTTTAACACAAGTACGATATATAAAAAAAGTTGGTTGATTAGTTGATTTTGTAAATAAACTTAAACTAAGTCTCTAAAAACACTATTTTTATGAAAATATAACACATCACAGGGAAATGCATCGATCAACGAGATCATTCAGCCATATTTGATACTAATAGCCCTGTCAATAATTAGCACGCTTACTTTAACTTAATTTATGGCGATAAACTCTACAATAAAAAGAACTTATTATTTTAATGAAAAGTGTAACTATTTTTAGTAATAAATGCAACTAATCTGAGTTAAGAGACGGACAATATGTGATATGTGATAATATATGTGATAATGTTGTGTATCAAATTGCCATACGCTAAATAAAATAAATAAGACGGACAAATTAAATTCTAACGTGTCAAAAAATACGATGCCGACCACAAAAAATATGGAAATCTGTCTACACGTGAACTAAAACCAGTTTAATTTGTCAGAATATAAGAAAGTATATCATAAGAATAGATAATAAATGAAAAAACAATAAGTAGAAAAAAAATCTGCAAAGTGAAACTCGTAGGTAACTTGCTTGTATCGTAGAATAATGACGATTGTCTAATTCTAGTTGATCTTGTCAATAATTTAAAATTAAAAAAATATTACTAGTAACGGAATTTTATGTAATGGTTGCTCATTAAGAGAACAAACGACTAAGTAGTAATTTCCTTCACCATTGTTACTTAATATCAAGTTAAGCAGTGGGAGATAAAAGACCATTTCAGAAAATCTGTAACACTAAATCAAATTTAAGCTTTAATCTTAAAACGGCTAGTGAAAGTACCCAAACGAAAAACGAAATGGATCTGTATATAGACTGATCAATCAACTTTGTGCAGACTCCATATTTTTTCATCATTTCAACGGTTTTGTTTATAAAATATTTTACACTGAGTAATTGACTTATCTTAAATCATTGAAATTACTCTAAATCATAACAGTTTACCATGTAAGTTTGTTCTAGATTGACTTAATATTTGGCTAATTTGTTTTGACAGGTTGAGTACAATCATGCATACAAATCAAATGGTCCCAGAAGCCGATATAATATTTTTGGCATAAATGGTGAGGCCAAAGTGGCTTCATGTTGCCCTATAATCCCATAAAAGTGCGAGACCATGTTGGTATCATAATATGTGGCACTCAACGTGTTAAACAAAATATTCTGTTACTGTAAGTAAAGATATTATATCATGCAGCATTAAGATAATCGAAAATTTAGGACAGTACGATTATAAACGCTAAGATTAAAATAAAATTTATAGAAAGTCTTGGATTTTTTTTTACAAAAACTCAATAAATGTATTTTTAAATAGAAGAGATAAAGATTTCAATCACAATACATAAATTCTCAACACCGTTCAATCTTTTATACAGAAAACTCAATCAACGTTCAAAAGTTTGAGGTTGAAAAATGGGAAAACACCGAATTATAAAGAATAATAACTATACATTTTAAAGGCCAGAAAATAAATAAAAATAAAAATATACAAAACAGTTACACTTTCCAGTAAAAAATTTGGCAGTGGCAACAAAGCTAAAAACGAAAACTAACCAATTTAATTAATTTATTGACTCAAATACCGACTAGAAAAAAAATATTTTGGTACGTAAGAAAATATGTTTCGGGCGACTTTTTACCGGTTGGGTCAGAAATATTTGTAACTAAATTATATCAAAGCACCTGATGTTATAATATTTTTATACTTAGTGACTATTGAATAGACTATTCAAGTTTTGACTATTCGCAGTATTTTAGAAATGGTTACGATCATCACGTCGAATTAAGTTGTCGGACGAAAATAACTATCTCTCCTGTATATTTAAATAACAGAAAAAATCAGTACATCTAATTATTATAAATATCAATAACATAAAGCAAAAGCAGTCCTTATAAAACAAAAAATGTAAATATAATTCTAGTAACAAAACAAATAACACTAATATTTTTGATTTACATTGACTAATGACGGTGATAGTTCGAGAATAATAAATTTGTCTAACAAATATTTCGGAACGATTTGATGTAATCTGAAACTACATACAGAATAGTTCCATTATATACAAAATTTCTATAACATGGATCCAGTTTCTGGTCAATTGTAGCTTGATTCAAAAAGTTGAGTACGTATCTTGGAACAACTTGTCGGATGGTATTATTGTCAACTAAAAAAAGGAAAAAATAAAATTAACATAATTGGTCCAATCTCCCAAATAATAGTAATCACCCGATTTTTATTATTTCGTGGCTTGGGTCAATACATGATAAAAATTTATTTTATTAATAAAATTTCGAAAACTGATGTTATCGAAATTGGATTACAAATTTTAATTCCATGGTTTAGATAGACATATACAAAGTACGACCGCGTGCTAAATACGGCCTTTTGGGCTATTCAATCAGGTCAGCAATATGGTTTTGAGTAACTCCAAAAATTAACCAACATAGGTCTGTATTTTAAATGTTTTGTTCTGTTGCCTCTTCGACCTCTGCATTCCCCCACCACTACAATCTCCTTGCCAAGCACTTCATGATGACAGGTAATGTTAAGTATAATGCATGTATTGTTCGGCTATGTTCGGAACATATGGGGAGCTACCTATGTAGCTACATCGAACAGGACCTGGACTGGACATTTTCAGCATGCCGTTTAATGTAGACTGTGAATTTGTAAAAACCAAAATTACAGCTCGAACCTATTGAGTTGTAATGTAACATTGAATTGAAGCAACTATTCTTCAATGTTTCTAAAACTGAGTTCTAAAAGACCCTGTCAAAATCAAGTTTTCCAAACTTGAAATCTCATGTTCAGAAGATAATTGCGATGTTTGCATCTTTCTATATTTGTGCACAGGTGTTTTTTACCATGACACTATACATAACTCCCATAACTCCCAAGTAGAGAACCGAGTTTCTGAGAATGAGGTCCTCTTCTAAAAGTGATATCCGACCATGGACGTCACGACAATTAGAAGATTTGAAAAGAATTGCTTGCGTTTTGGAGAGATTTATGGTCACTCTCCATTTGTTGCACCACCTTACAACTCTGTCAAAGTAGTCTTGCGACCTTTTGAATACAGACCGTACTCTCTGTGAGAGACTGAAGTGAGGATGGCCGGATCATCAACAAAGAGTAGTCTAGCAACAAAACTAAAATTTCTTTAATTTATTGTTTTTTGGTTTTTTTTAGAAAGAAAATCGTGGCTTATTCCCAATAAAAATAGTAATCTGCATTAAAATCCCACAAGAAAATAGCTTCTGAATAATACTCTTGTCTGTAATAACTTCCCCACTGAGAGCAGTGGAAATGTAGTAGTGGTGTTCTTAATAGTCAGTCCTGATACACCCAGAAAAGATCTTTGCAAGTATATTAGTCCATTACCTAGCCTCTCGTGGAATAAGCATGGACATTGAAGAATGTCCATTCTTGTCCCATAAATATAGATGAGCAATGTTTAACAAAGATACATTCAGTGTCAAGTGTAGTCATAAAAAGTTTGGCTACTTTTTAAACGAATGCTTCGGCCCAAAAAGCGCTAAAACCTATCCTAAACCCGCAAACAGAGGTGTGCAGTATAATTAAAGATCTTTTAGATCGCAATGTGCAAGAGTTTACTAGGTCAAACTATTTGTTTACTTTCAATCTACAAGTAATTCATAAACGCAGTAATTTCTTCTGCTTGGTAATAATAATGAAAATAAATATATATTGTGAATATCTATGAAGTTATAGTTATGAATATATTTAATTTTGCAATTTGTTATAAATACTTACTTAAAAATGCAATTGTTAGATCTTCGTCTGTAAAACTTGCTTTACAAGTACAGCGATCCCAGCCTCGTCCTTCGTAGATAGTTCCGTCTTGGTCCACGATAAAATTAAACAAAATATCCGGTTCGTGTCTATCTTTCATTTGGTTCTTCCGAAGAAGCTTTACGCAATTTTCGTTAGACGATGCTTGATGGCAGATTGTTTTGTCCGTAGAATTGAGCTCGATGAAAAAGACGTTATGGGCGGGAAGTTTTAATTTTTTCATGTGAGTTGGAGATTCATATCCGGCTTCAAGGGTAATCCACTGGTTTTTGAGAATATAATTAAAATATCCATTTTCAGATTCTAAAAAAAAAAAGAATAATAATATAGGTACTGATTAATTTCAACTGTATTTATGTTTAAACAGACAAACGTGTATATTTGAAAAGGCAGTTCATTTTTTATATTATTTACGATCAACTTTTGATATCTGATACGCAGACGGCTTTAAAATTAGAGAATTAAACATATAAATTGAAAAAGTTTCACTATCAACGTAAAATAGGAATAAATCTCAGTAAAACATTTAGTGACAAACATAAAATGTTAACGTTTCGGCGAATTGCTATTTTTAATAAAAACTTTATTCTTACACTATTGGCCGTTAAAATTGAAATTATGCCGAGTGCAAAAAAATCGAAAAAAATACAGGTGACACTGTCATGGCAAATATGTTAAAAACCAATTTAATAAATTATAATATTTATTGGAGTCTTTTATATTAGTTTTGTAGTTAATACAGCTTTGCTCCTTTTTAGGACGAATTATCTCCGATGTACATTCTTTATAATTTGTTTTATTGAGAACTAAGAATGCTTGGCTGATGCAAATATCTACAATTTTAAAAATCTCCATCGAGCGTATGTGTGCTACAAAAGTTATTCGAGGCCAAAGGTCAAAATTTGAGGTTTTTTGAATTTTCATTGGAAACGGTAAGTTTTATCAAAAAAACTCTTGAGCCAAAGTTGTAGATCTTAAAATTCTCTATAAAATTAGTATTTATTAGTTGATTCTATTAAGCGGCGTCCTCATTGAGTTGACATTGTCGATCGACTCTGTCTATCGACACTGTCGACCAACAAATCGAAAAAGCTTCGATGTCCACACCAGGTAGGCAGAATATTTGTCGACAGTCGAAACGAAAATGTGTGACGAAGATGACGCCATTATTGTTTGTGCCGCATTTGTTATTATCACAACTAAAAAACGTAAATCATCGCGTAAAAGAAGATTTTGGGTTCGACCAAGCCTTCAAAGTAGAAATCGGTATAGCGGTAGTAACCTGATAGAAGATTTGAAAAAGGATGATATCGATCTATTGAACCTTGAATACAGATGTAACGGAGGTTTCAGAAATTTTTTTCGAATGTCGCAAAGTGAATTTGAATATTTGTTGCAAAAAATCGGGCCAAAAATTTGTAAGCAAGACACCAATTGTAGACATGCCATTCCAACAAAGGAGCGTCTCGCTGTGAGATTACGATTTTTATGTAGTGGAGATTCGTATCACTCACTGATGTATCTCTTCAAAATTTCAAAAACAAGCAATTTCTCAAATTATTCCGGAAGTCTGCGATGCCCTTATTGACACATTACAAGATTACATAAAGGTAAGTAGAGTTTTACTAAAACTACATTTATACTGAAAGAGGTATATTATAATTACATTATTGAATTTTATTAACTAAAACGAAGCTTACAAAAACGTACCAAAGTAGTAAAATGTAGTGAAATAATTCGGAAATAAAACTAAGTTTTCAAATAAATGTACGTATCAAACACAAAATTAAAAATAATGCTGGTTATATCTACTGTGCTTATTGTGAAGTGCCACGTCCCGGACGTTGTAGTTGTTGAATTAAATTATCTATGGCTTCGTCATCTTCAGTACCTGATTCTGCCGGAGTTGAGGGGTTAGTAAAAGAAGAACATGAAGAATGCTCTGGGGATGGTTGCGGTATTAAAGTCGTTATTGAACCAACAGGATACTGCTGGAGCTGATGCTGAGGATAATATTGCGGTGGTGGCTGTTGTGATACTGGATAGTTATATTTGCCCAATTTTCCTTCAAACAGAATCGTGCTTATCATGTGTTGCACTGTAGCTTGAGCATAAGAGGTAGGCAAATTTCGTAATGTAACAGCAACTTCTTCTCCAAATACGCTAAAGACGTCCTTTTTATTTCTGTCCAAAAACACCTGTGTCATCATCCTGTATGCATCATTAACCATTGGGTCATCACCTTTCCTTTTCTTGGAATGCACATGGTCAAGATTTGGTGACTTGAACTGTTTTTTCGGACTTGTGTTTCTCTTTGTGCGTTCAACTTTTTCGGCATTTCCAGCATTTGCATTATTACATTCTGCTAGATTGTTTTCTGTTGAATCATTTGTGGTAATAAAATCGTGACTATTCTCATCATTTTCAGTGATGTCATTCACATCTCCTTTATCTTCCAAAGTATCTACTTCAGTTGAAACCTGTAATCAAGAGTATATATATTAAATTAATTAGAAATTAAATAGGTTAGATAATAAAAATAAATAGGTCTTTTTATTTCAGATGCCTAAAACTGAGGCAGAATGGAAAGCTATTGCAGAGGACTATTACAATCGTTGGAACTTTCCAAACTGTGTCGGAGCTATGGACGGAAAACACGTAGCATTGCAAGCCCCAATAAATAGAGGCAGTGAATTTTTTAATTACAAAGGATTCTTCAGTATTATTTTATTTGCCGTAGTCGATGCAAATTATAATTTTATTTATGCCAATGTGGGATGCCAAGGGCGTATTTCTGATGGTGGTGTGTTTAGTAGCACTGTATTAAATAAATTTCTTGAAGAGAATACAATGCATTTGCCTGCGGAAAACCTGCTTCCAAAGAGTGATGTAAAAAGCCCATTCATTTTTGTGGCAGATTTTCTCTCTCTACAAACATAATGAAACCTTATGCAGGGCTTCACTCTAAAGGTTCTAGTGAAAGAGTATTTAATTATCGCGTTAGCAGGGCCCGGAGATTATCTGAAAATGTTTTTGGCATAATATCTAGCGTATTTAGAGTTTTCCGCAAACCAATGCTATTAGAACCGACTACTGCTTCTAAAATAATCTTAACAGCATGTTATCTGCACAACTTTCTTAGAAAAAGCGCATCCAGGAATATTTACAATCATCCTGGAACATACGATGCTGACTGTTCTGACACCACAGACTTGATTCCAGGAGCTTGGAGAAGTGAACTTTGTAATCAACCTGTATTAGTAAACTTAGCAAAAATACCCAGAAAAAGTGCACTGAGTGCTCTACTTGTGAGAAACGTGTTAAAAGACTATTTTATGACACCAGAAGGAGAAGTGCCTTGACAATACTTAAAGTGATAAAATGTGTATTAATATTATGTAGCCTAATAAAAAAGACATTGTAGGTGTAAAATATATTTAATTTATACATACCTCTGAATCCAATGTCTCTCTGGTCTTATTTTTGTCACGTAAAAATCTTAAACTTTCATAAGCAAACCATTTACTTTTATACACATCATCCGTGCCACTGCCAGATTTATTGCCATCCTTTGTTTTTTTTATTTCTCTTGCTAACTGGCTTTGAAGATTTTTTATTTTTTGTTCTACCACTTGCTTTTCTATGTTAAATTCACTGGCAATTTCCATCAAAGCATCGTGCCTCATGTTTCGATCTTTATAATATTTGCTTCTAGTGTTCCATAGATTTGTTTTTAATTTATAAGCTTCAATAAATGCAATCACTTTTTCTTTTTCCCATTCCATTTTGCCAACAAGTACAAAACACGAGACTTTAAATGAGGCCGACTACACCGCACGCTGAATTATTTTTACTGTATTTTTATGTAATGTCGAAGGTCGAACGTCGAATGCACGTACACACTTCCGATTCGACTCGACTACCCTTTGATTTTACCGACAGAGCACGGAAAACCAGTCGACACGTCGATCGACATCTTTTGTCGATCGACAAAGTCGATTGCCGCGTACACACTCAGTCGAGAGTGTCGATAAACACAGTCGATCGACAACGTCGACTCAATGAGGACGCCGCTTAAGAGTCACATTATACATGATATGCACGTATAAGACACGTATAGGTATACATATGAGGCACTTAAGACAAGTATAAATACCTATTTGTGTTTCTTTTATATATTAGGCTATTCTGAAAACATGTATTCAAAAGATAGTCAGTTCCTAACTGAATCCTCTACCCACGTGGTCTTGAAAACCATCTGGCTATTCTATTATCCGTAGGTCGCGTTCATACACCTGTTTAGTGATAATGGTTTAGTTCAAGTTATTATACGTACTTATTACAAGAGTCTACCATATTTAGGTTATTTATGCTATTTTATAGCTGTAAAAAGGTCTCAGTTTTGCTTTGTTTGGTCGTTTGGTATGTTTGGTCGTGGAATGCCAAATTCAACTAAGGCTAGTGTCGCGAGAGGTGATGAGTTTACTGAGTATTTAAAAACTCAAAAGATCATTACAATATACGTGGATTGCAGAAAATCATACATCCGGAAAATTTCAACTGTTGCAGTGAATAGACAACGTGAGGAGCAATGAAGCAACTGAAAAAAAGAAAGTACAGCATCTTCGAAAAAAAATTTGTAACGAGACTACATTAAAATTCAAAGAATCCTTGTTGAAATTAGCTAAAGATTATTCTAATGATGTTTCAAAGGCTGTTCTTAAGCGTAATAATTTTGAATATTATTTAGTACTTGCTGCTGATGCAAAATATCATGACAGTTATTACAAATCTCTCCTAAAACCTGATACTGGTGGTAAAATTGACCGTCTACAAGATGAAACCACAAACTTTGCGATAGAGAAAATTTTTCAATTCATAGAAACGAGTGATAACTCTATACTATACATAATCAGAACTATAAAAATACGATTCAAATTGAAGTATGGCAGTGGAATAATTACTACAGAGAAGCCTTGAAAATTAACATTTATTTGTTTTATTGTCAATTACTAAGATATTTTAAGTCACGTCTGATCTGATAAAAAATTACTTGCATTGATAAATACCGATACTTAACTTTTGTAAAAAATACGTGTAATAAGAAACAAGTAGCATTACCATACCATCAAGTTCAAACGAGGCAAAAGAACTGATTAGAAATCTGAAACCGATTAAAACTTTACTCCTACATGCTTCTGAACAATTCCTCAATACTATTTTTTGCAGTTTCAAAAAAGGTTTTAGTGTTAAATGTGGCTATAAACAAGTCGGGTTGCTGTATTCTCCAACGTTTGCCAATTGTCAAGGTCATTCTCTTTAATGACTCAGCCACATTTCAACAATTTATGAACATCCAATAAGAGGAAGAGGAAGAAGAAGAAATCGAAGAAGATTTGACTGTTAAAGAGGACTTTTGAGAGTATAAATCTGATTAAAATATCTAAAGAAATCAACCCAATAATCAATAGCAATATCAATAGTCAATATCAATAATAATGTGATATCTACAACTTAACGGGTATTGTTCCCTTAAATTATTCTAAAATTGTTATGACAGTTAGTGGAGTAGGCCTACAGGGGAAACTATGGTAAAAAAAAACGCGCCGAGTACACTACCTCACAGGTGGCGTGGAAATGTGTGCTTATCATGTATAATGTTAATCTTAGAATCGCGATATCTCAGGAATGGAAAACAATTATAAAGATTTAAGAAATTTAAGACCTACAACTTTGTTTTACGGTTTTTTTTTTTATAAAACTAACCGTTTTCGAGAAAAATCTAGAAATCCTCAAATTTGGACTTTTTACCTCGAATAACTTTTTTAGCACACATACGATCGATGGGGATTTTTAAAAATTTATTTGTAATAGTAAATCCCAGCTCTCCAACAATATCTGGCTTTCCCGAAATATTTGTTATTTTTTAAATGTATATATTAACGAGAGTATATTTTAACCGGTGAACTTTTATAAGGAATTTCTTTAAGTAATTTTTGTCGAGAAGATTATGGTAAGTTATAAACAATATAACACGTGAATTGATAAATTATAATTTTAAAAATCGGAAACCCAACATTTTTTGTATAAACTGTAGCCTGTAATTATCAAAGAATTTAAAAAGTAATCCCATTATTACCATTATATTTAATAAAGCCTTTATAATTTCTTCAATAAGTAAATAAGGATTCTAACTAAATATTGTCGAGAAAGTAGTAATTGACATTAAAAACCATATAGTAACAGTATAAAACTCAAAAAAAAAAGAAGATAAATAGAAGCTAGCACAAGTGCGCAAATCTTGGTTCTCTGGAGAAATAAATTTAAAACGCCAGTAAAAATAGTAAAAATAATGCTTATACATTAATAAATAATTGTTCGTTATATACTGAATAAACTTTATTAAATACTATTTAGTTTGCCTTTGTCTAGATTAAATTGTAATTTCTTATTGTAATTTTACTGCAGACCTGTGAGCCCTAACCTGCCTCAACACATTCTTCCCTCCTTCCCTGTTAAGTGTCTGTCTTCTACATTCCTTACTCCAATCTGCCTTAAATCGGTCTGCACATGGTCCACCTGAGCTTAGCTCGCCCCCGGCCACTTCCTTTCGACAAGCCTATTTAGCATGAATATTTTAGAAAGATCACTTTCATCCATCCGTATAACATAGCCCACCGATTTTAGACGGTTTATTTTGATGGTTTTTACGATATCTTTATCACCAAAAAGTCTCTAGAGTTCGAAATTATATTCCTTCTTACCTTATCAACGATTCGTAGTAACTCTTCATCTCGGGTCGTCATTGCACATGTTTTCGATCCGTATGTGAGCACTGGGCGTATCATTGTTTTATAAAGTTCTCACTTTGTTGATCTTGATATATTTTTCGATCTTAGTTCAGGACTTAGGCCAAAATAACAGCGGTTAGCCACATATATTTTTTTTCTTATTTCTTTAAATGTATTGTTTTTGCAGTCAGCCAGTGACTCTGGTCAAGTCCAGTCAAATAGCAGAACTCTTTTACACTTTCTGAAGTTTCGTGTTGTATCTCTAAGTTATTTTGTTGCATTCTTGATATAGCTGACATATATTTAGTTTGTTTGGAGTTTATTAAAAGTCTGACGGTTTCTGCCGTGTTTTTTATACGTGTTAAAGCTTCAACTGTACCCATTAAGTTTATTCCCGAAACTCTCATAACTTTTTCTAATGCTAGATTGAACAGCGTGCATGATAGCGCATCTCCGTGGCGCAATCCTCTGTTAGTTGTAAATGGTTCTCTTTACTTTCAACTTTTCTCGTTGTCATTTCAATCAATTCTACCAATCCTTTTGGTATTCCAAATTCGAGAATAGCCTAATATAATTAAAGTCTGTCAAGAGTATCGTATGCTGCCTTAATATTTACGAAGATATAATGGCAGTCTACATACCATGCTTTTAGAACTACATACCGAATCTTCTAAAATAGGACTGAAAATGAATTTAAACAAAACAAAAGTCATGCACTCCGAAAACACCATGACAATAATAAACGATAAAGTTATAAAAAAAGTTGAAGAATATATATACTTAGGACAAAAAATAATCCTCAATAGGGAAATTCAAACTGAAGAAATAAAAAGAAGAAAAAAGTTAGCTTGGGCAGCATTCGGTAAACTGAACTATATACTCAGAAATCAACAAATTCAATTACATCTTAGATCTAAAGTTTTTGATGCATGCATTATACCGATATTAACTTATGCGACACAAACATGGACAATCACAAAAAAGAATATGAATATACTTAGGAGTCACTCAACACGCGATGGAAAGAGCAATGCTAGGTATATCACTTAAGGACAAGAAAACAAACACATGGATAAGACAGAAAACCAAAGTCACCGATGTGGTGCAAAAATCATTAAAGTTGAAATGGGAATACGCTGGGCATGTAGCTAGGAGCGATGTAAACAAATGGCACAGATCAATTTTAACCTGGAGACCATACCAACACAAAAGACCCAGAGGCAGACCTCCTATGAGATGGACAGATGATCTGAAAATGACTACCGGGAAAAATTGGCTACGAGTAGCGTACAATAAAAAAAAATGGAAAGGAAGACTTGAAGAGGCTTATGTTCAGATGTGGACGTGAATGACTAGACGAAGAAGAAGAAGAAGAATGGCAGTCTATCTATGTCGAATTCCTTTGTTTTTTCTATTTGTCTGATTAATTATATGTGATCAATGGTAGATCTGTTGTTTAAAAAGCATCTTTTTAAACAACAGATGTTCCATATCAGTATTCCAATATTTCATATAATTCCAGTATTTTAGTAAATATTTCTGCTGGTAAGTAATTTGCTCCGGCAGACTTGTTTCTGGCTTGAGAGTGAATTGCTTTATTAATTTCTTCCAAAGTTGGTAACGTTGGTCGCTTAATTTTCTCCTATTCTAGTTCTAGTTCTATATTATCTCCACTTTCAGCTCTACTTTTTTGATTAAGTAGCATACTAAAGTATTCCTACCACCTTTTCAGTACTTCTACTTTGTCGTTTAGAAGGATTCCATTACAACGCTTGACTTGGTTCGCTTATGGCTTGAAAACTTTTTGTTTTGTGTTAACCTGTTTGTAGAATTTTCTGTGTTAGTGTTCTCTACTTAATTTTTTCATTTCTCCAAACACTTTATTAATTTGTTGTGACCTAAATATAGTACAAGAAGATACCTAGAAAAATATTAAATGAAAATTGTAAAAACATTAACAGGAAAACCTAGATGATAGACAACATTGATGAGTCGATACAAGATAGAGAGGGAATGCACAGATATATAAATAAATCGGCAGAAGATAATAATAAAAGCCCGAAGAAAGTCACTAGTTGCAACAAGATTTAGAGGCTGGCCTAGAAAGGTATAGAATTATATTTCAAAATGAGAAGAAATAACGTTCAATAAAAACAAGCAAAATTCCTAAACCAAAATATTAAAAAGACAAGAATTAATACAGATTCAGATATTTTCAATTCCGACTAATTATTGTAGATAATCATGTCTTTGAATGTGAAATAGGTACATTAATTTTATGATATTATTTAGAAATTGATGTAAAATGATTATTACTTACGTGTTTGACCCAACCAGATTAACAAAAATGCACCAATAGAAACAGCTAATACTATGAGCGTTATGAAAAGCACCATCCACAGTCTATCCAAGAACCGTCTATTAAATGGTGTTCTCGATAACAACGGGGTCGATTCTTCATCCCCTATAGATTCTGGATCAAATTCGGTAGGCCGGCTACTCTCACTACTGGATAAAAAATTTTCAGCCACGCTTTTTAATTTATTCACAAGTCCAGTACCATTTTGCTGGTTTCCTGGATTTTCTAACTTAAACACTGTTGGTGGTTTGCTAGCTGGATCATCAATAGGTGGCTTGTTAAATGGATTATCAGTTGGTGGTTTGCTATTTGTATTATCAGGTTTCCTCACAAGCTCAGTACCATTTTGCTGATTTCCAGGATTGTCTAAGTTAAACGTTACTGGTTTGCTAGCTGGAGTATCGGGTTTATTATCCTTAGAATCTTCGTTAGGTCCTAGCAACGGAACTGTTTCCCCTTCCTTTAGAGGAGGGTCGTCATCAGTCTCGGGATTTTCCTCCTCGTGAGTTGTAAGACTAACATTCTCTAAGGTACTCTCGTTTTTCTTGTCGTTCTCAGCTGGTGCTGCTGATTTATCTTCCAAACCTAAAATAAAAAAAGTTGTAGTTTACAAAAGCGTTTTTAGATATTTTAAATGCTCCTCAATATAAGAGAAGAAAAAATTGGGCAAGACGAGAGAGATAAAAATATAGAGAGAAAGATGTAGAGAGTGAGAGAGCGAGAAGAGACATAAGCTTCAGAACTCATCGACTGTAAATTTATCAGTATTTTGTAAGCTTTATATACAAACATTATATTTTTTCATGACTATTTTTTACCTCTGGCCTCTATTATAAGTATTTAGTAAGTAGATATATGTGCGAATCGTAAAAATAAATATTGCTCAAAACAAAAAGAATGTACAGCCTCGAAACAGGACTAATACTATGAAGAGGACTGCGGTAAGAAATAAGGACAAGTAAAAAATATCAAAAACCCAGATGAAAACATGGAATATGAGATCGTTCAATTCAAGGGACCAAGAAATATCCCAAGTGCTGAGAGAGAAACAAATACACATTTGTCATCAGCAGGAAACAAAAAAGAAAGAAAAATATCAATTAAAATTAGGTGAATACGTACTAATCTATAGTGGAGTAGCAAAACAAGGCAGGGTCAAAGAAAGTGTACCCTTACTTATACAAAAAAAGGTACCAAAATCACATCAAAGAATGTTAATACATGTCAGGCTTGTAATAGTAAAGATATGAATAGAGAAGGAACACCTTAACATCAATGGAGTTTACGGCCCAAAAAACAACAATACTTAAACAACAAAGGAAAGGCCCAAAAAACAACAATACTTAAACAACAAAGGAAACGTTTTATGACAAATTACAAGTAGTAGATCAAGTCAGAGGGAAGAGGATACTATTGGGACATTTTAACGTTCGAATAGACAATCAAGTAATACCCGCATCTAAGCTAAAACATAACTAGAATGGTCAAAACAAAAATGATAAACTTCTGCACGAATAACAAATTTAAAATAAACAACACAATTTTTGACCACAAGGAGAAAACAAATAAAACATTCAATAACACCTATGGACACAGATCTATGATAGATTACGTTATAACTAACAGAGATATACCTACACCCAATAAAAATAATCTACGTAAGATGCCTCAACTTAGCTGATGTAGGCAGCGACCATAGCCTAGTATTATGTAAAATAAGAATCGTCATGAAATACTTCACATCCAGAAGAGAAAACACAAATCAGAGTCGAAGGACTAAATATGGAGTCCACGGAGAAGATTGATAAAAATGAAATATTAGAAAACGATAACATAGAGGAAAGTTGGAGAAAAAACTCAAAAACAACATAATTAACGCAGCAGCAGAATTACTTGGAGAGAGGAAAGTAACGAACAGTAATATATCAAAAAACCCATGATTTAAAGAGGAAGTGAAGACAAAATGAGGAAAAAAGAAAAAAGCCTCTTTTACAATACAAAACACAACAAACACAATACGCATACAACCACTATAAATGAATCAGAAATGAAGCAAATACTTTAGTTAGACAAATAAAAAAGAAATACTGGCAGAGCTTCAAAACAGATGGAACACGATTTCTATGAAAGACAAACAAACCATGGGCAGACTACTTTGGATCTCCATTTCTTAAAAGAAATGATAATAAACCACCAACACCAGAGGTGACGGCAAAGAAAGAAATACATATTGAGGAGGAAGAGGTAAAGAAAGCATAAAGTAAATTAAAAAACAGAAAATCACTAGAAGAGGACAGAATACTGAACGAACTTCTAAAGTACGGAGGACCAGATATGATATGAGATAAGTTTTAGGTCAGGAAGATCATGCACTGATGCTATATTTATAAAGAGGCAAGTGCAAGAAAAATCATTAGAATACAACAAATAAGCATATCTTTTGTGGAACTTACGAAAGCATTTGACTGGGTCAAATTAAAGGACGTTATCCACTTATTGTACGGCAGAGAGATACCGCTAAAAATAATCAAAACGATCAAAAATATCTATCAAAACAACACCATAAAGGTAAAAGTATAGGAAGAACTAACTGATCCTATTGAAGCTGGCAATGGGATAAGACAGAAAGATTCTCTGAGTCCTTTATTATTCATTCTGATTATGGATGAAATTAAAAAAAAAGTAAGAGCTAAAATATCTAGCTACGGAAATCTCGCAACAGTCGAAAAGTGGAGAATCATGTAAATAGAGCAAATAGAGCCGTATATTGCCGAAATAAAACAAATGTAAGACAGAATTTACAAAATAGTCATAAGATCAATAGTGTCATACGCGGCAGAGACATGACCTGACACAAAGAGTACAAAAAGAATATTAGAAACAGCAGAGATGAAAACACTTATGATAAAACACTATGAGATAAAGCTAAAAGTACAAATACACGACGTAGATGCAAGGTAGAGAACATCAACGACTGGGTAAGAAATAAAAGAGTGGAATGGAACGATTATATACACTGAATGACAATAAAGTAGTAAAGACGGCAAGAGACGGTTGTATAATAGGAGGACGATCAGTAGGAAGACAACGATAACGACAACAATGGAACGATAACTTTGAAAAACAACAACATTGAAAAACTGGAGGCACATTGAAAAGGCAATTTGGTCGTCTGCAAAGAATAGTGTCTACAATGTGGCGTCATTTAGAGGGATTCCCATACCACTACATGTACTTTTTCATGTCTTTAGTGCTTGTTACAAGTAAATCTTAAATAAAATTAGGAAGATACAGCATTCTTGTTTGAGTCCTCTGTCTACCACAAACCCTTTTTTTGGTTCGTGAGTTTGCCATAAAAGGTTTGTGGTAATAAAGATCATGCACTCATAACTTATAACAAGTGGTTTTAAAGAAAATTTTGGAGTTCCTAATTGATGTTCAAATAAAAGAATATAAATTAAAGTGGTAAGCGCGCATACAAAGAAGTAGAGGTGCTAATCACCTGTTATGAAGGATCGCTGATTGGGAGTTCCTGAAAGGAGTAGGAGACAGAATTCAAGAATACCTGGTGGGATTAACTTAGGCAGAACATGTGAACAGGATCAATAGTGGTGTGACTCAAGATAGAAATTTATAGAGAAATGTAATTATTAAAGTTGACCCCGCATAAGGATAAAAGAATAGAGAGTGATAAAATCAGGCAACACTGTACAGTCTTCATCATTCAGATAAACTTTGTAACTCGGTGATATAAAATGTAAATTTTCAAAAACGTTATTAGATACTTTTTATTTTTTTACCATACATGAACACCTTTTTTCCGGTAACTCATCTTTGGTAACGATAACAACAAAATATTCGATTCTATCTGTACCTTTTTAAGTCCAACATGCCTTTTTTAATTATTTTTTTGTATCCCTTTTTGAACAGCATAGTTTCCGCATATTTACTTGCCATACATATTTAATGCATCTAATTTACTAGTTTAATTTTTAATTTAAACAAACTCCTTTATAATGTTTTAAGCTTAAAATAAAATATGCAAAATTATGAGCACTAATTCCTGAATACATAATCAAAATCTAATCAGATGATAAGATATACTCCAAATTTAGATCAATACTGTAAACAAATATCAGTAGTTAACTTCATTTCTATTGGTATATGTGAATTACAAAAGGCTAACGAGTCTAGATTAGACGAAAATAAATGAAAAATTTCCGTAAAGATAACCGTTACAGATTTAACCGATTATAACCACAAACAGCAACAAAAAATTTTCTTTGATATGCTGATTAATATATAAATAATATTTCGGCCTAGATACGAGAGGGTTTTTGGTAATTATGCAAATTAACATTAGATCGAGAAAGTACAAAGAGGAAAATGCTTATCTGTGTTTAATATCATATCTTCTCTCGATAGTTAAGGAGGCAAAAAAATAATTAAATATTTTCCTTTTATTTTTCATAGTTAACCCTTCCCATCTTATAATATCTGTGTTTATATATATATATATATATATACAATACATTTTGGAGACTGCTATCGCCGTATTCCCGGTCCAAGGCATGCTCCTCCTAAAACCTGTCGATTCCATCGCTCTTCTAATTCCTTCATTCCATGAGCGTCGAGGTCTACCCCTTTTTCTTCCTCCAGGGGGCTTCCATCTGTGAAGTTTTTGAAGCCAACGTTCGTCAGGCATTCTCAATAAGTTTCCAAACCATTTTAAATCTCTCTTTCTATTCTGTCAATGACCGTTTATGTAGCATTCATGTTGTTTCTTATAGATTCGTTGCTCTTTCTTTCCAACCTTGATGTTCTAGCACTTCTTCTCAAATAATCCATTTCAACTGCCAAGAATCTTCTCTTCAGGTCTGCATTAATTGTTTATACTTCCGAGCCATAACAAAGAACTGATTCAATCATGGTTTGCCCTATTCTTTTTTTATTCGTTTTGGAAAAATTGCGATCCCACCATATTAAGTTCAGACATCCTACAATTTTACGTTCCTGATTAATTCGGTGTTTAATTTCGGTTTCTCCCCAGCCGTTCTTATCAATAAGTGTTCCTAAATATTTAAATTTTTCCACTTGTTTGATTTCCACTTCCTCGTCTATCAACACTTCAAACCTTGCATCTGAATTGGTAACTTAATATTCTGTTTTCTTCATGCTGACTTGTAACCCACATTTTACATATTCTCTGTATAGACACTTTATCATAAATTCTAGATCATAATATGTCTTGATTATCATAAATTCTAGATCATTTAAATCTTGAGCTAGGACGACTTGGTCATCCGCAAACTTCAGAAAGAACAGTAATTTCCTATTGAGATTCCCATTCCCTGGCAGTGGCTTTTCCAATTTTGGAGGGCTGCCTCAATATATAAATTAAACAGTAACGGTGATATAATGCATCTTTGTCTTAGTCCTTTAGTTACTTTTATTGGCTCTGATAGTCTATTGCCGATTTTTAGGTAAGTAGAGTTATCCCTGTATACTTCTGTGATTATTTCTAAAAGTTATTGACTAATGTAGAGTTGTTGTAAAGCTTGTCATAGTTTAAGTCTTGGAACTGT